TTGGTAGCTTGTTTTACGTCCAGCTGTAGTCTCGCAAAGAGTTCAGAGAGTGAAGAGTAATGGTTGGTGTCTTGTTTGCGTATTTGCCTAAAAAAGTTCCAGTCTACTACTTTAAAGTCTCTGGGCTCGAGGCTGCCTATATTGACTGTTTTGCTACAGATAAAGTGATCGCTACCGTGGTTAGCTTGCAGATTAACCCATGTGGGGTTCGAAACGTTGCGTACTAGGGTCAGGTCAGGGGATGAGTCCCGTGACACTGAGTTACCTATGTGTGGGGGGGTAGAGAGGTCGTTAAGTAACATGAGATTGTGTTGAGTGATGTGTGTTTGTAAGTGGCGTCCTTTCTGTGTTGTGCGATTGTAACCCCATTGTACATGGGGGGGCGTTGAAGTCCCCCGCGATGATGAGGGGATGGTTGCCTGCTATCTGCGTCGCAGTTATGCGAACATCATTGGCAGTGCGTCTGAAACTGGCTGAGAACGCTCGCAAAGAAAAAAAATAATGTAACTTCATTATGTCCTGCCCGTTTTCTTTTATGTGTGTTCTCTTAGTCTGCTGTTGAGAATGCCGAGGAGGCGAATGAATAAAAAAAATTAAAGAGGCGCGCAAGTAATTCAACACAACAGTGAAACATAGTCATCTTCTTGACCTACAGGGGCGCACCCACATGAACTTCGACCCTGTCTAGGGTTACACCCGACCGGACACCGCTCAAGCAATACGCCCGACTCCCACGTGACCACGCCTCGTCCACTTTTGCGCACACCCCACCCACCACTGCATGCCTGATCGCATGTTGGACGCGCACCTGCGCCCTTGTCCAGAACTACACATTTCAAAGGCCGCGTACGTTGCGGCCGAACCTTTGTTGCCCTTGTTCTCTATAGATGGCGCCAAGCGACTACACAGGGCGCTGACAGACCAGTTTCCCCATTCCCAATCCCATTTGTCACCAGTAAAGTTTATTCCCCAGTTGGCAAGTATCCCTGTATACATAGCAGAACCTCGTTCGTATGCTTTCGAAAAAAAAAGAAGAAAATTTTAAAGCGTACTATACGGAAAGACGCACAATCGGATTCTCCAAAACATCACGCAGTTTCGCTTAATAATGATATTAAGAACATTTGCACCGAAAAATCTTAGGCAACAGTAATGTGTCAATAAGGTTATTCTATCACGTACAATAGCACTACATTAACTATAAGTTAGGCTAGACTTATGGTATACGGTTCCGTTATAGGTTAACTTTATGCTCAACTTATATGGCATGTGTCCTCCGTTATAGATTAACTATGGAGAAAACCTACCTTATTTCGGTGAAGGAAGGTTACGCATGTGTTTTTATACATATGTTTATACAAGTGCCGCTGCTACGAAATCACTTTCATACTTGGCGAAGAAGGGCCTAGGACTTGACCACAATCACCATTTCCACAACACACATGATGCAGACATGATAATCAAGAAATGCGTGTCATGTAACAACATGACTACAAGCTACGCTCATGATGCGCTCGCAGCCATTTCCCTAGCTTCACATGTACCAAACTTGTTATTATGTGACTTGAACGGGCGACATAGGTAAATGACACACCTAAACATGATAATCACGACATGCGTGTCATGTAGCAACATGTCTACATGCCAAACTGATGATGCGCTCGTGGCCATTTCGCTATAGCTTCACATATGCCAAATTTGGTATTACCTGACGCCAATAGATGACGACGTTATGTGACTGGTGCAAGCGTGATAATCATGAGATGTGTGTCATGCGTGAACATTACTGCATGCCACAGTAAAGGCGCCAATACGTTTCGACGTGTCGCGGTGCGCGTGCTCGCCGGCGTTGCCACGCCAGGTGCCGGTCCTGTCATATACTCGCAATCGCGCGCCGCACTGCGTTGCTTTGACGCATGCGCGTTTCAGCGCGTCTGGCGTCCCTCCGTCGAGAAAAGAGGGAGACGCAGTGTTGTCTGGGTAACGCATCGGCGCGAAATGCAGCATGTCGCATTTCGCGCCGGTTGCCGTCGGTCTGCGCCGACAGATGCTGGTCGCGCCTGGCATCAGACTATAGAGTGCTCGCGTTTTGCTAACGTTGCATCGTTTGCCCAGCGTGCACGCGCGTCAACGCTACATTGGAGTATATTGGACTCTTCATGATGCGCTCGCGGCCGTTTTGCTAGTTCCACATATACCAAATTTGGTGTTACGTGACGTCAACGAATGACGAAATATATGACTGGTGCAAACATGATAATCCTGACACGCGTGTCATGTGAGAACACCACAACATACCACGCTCATATATCGTGCGCGCGGCCATTTTACTAGCTCCACATAAACTAAATTTAGTATCTCGTGACGTGAATAGCCTGACGAAGGTAAACGACACATCCGAACATGATCATCATGACACGGAAGTCATGTACGGCATCATTTACCTCCACCTCGTAACGTTGTGCAGATTTTAAAGTGGCATATCAACATTTCTCATTCGTGCTTCGCACACCAGCGATTCCCAGTGTACGTGGGATCTGCCAACTTTTTAGAGACCTTACGTAAATATAAGCACTAAATCTTGACCTCCAAGGTAATACTGACAGGAGATTTTTTTCTGTGCGTTATTGAACAATAAGAATTTGCGGCGTGCGCGTCAACTAAAAGCAGACTGCGGGTCTCTGCGCCCAGTTGGGGTCGTCTGTCTCTAATTGCCCATCAGCAGCGATCGACATGTTCCTGTAGCCTATACACCGTTGCATTACTGCGTGCTTGCGCCTGTTTCTCTGCTGCGCAACGCCGCGATGGAGCATCAGCGTCGACGCCGCCACCAGTGTAGGCGTTAGCGCCCACTGCTTCACATATACACATGATTCCCTCTGGCGGGAGATGTAATTTTTTTGTTGCTTAACCTTTTGTAGGTTGACCTATATTCTTGGCACAGTGATGTAAAAGAGAAAAAAAAAACGGACGTGGCCTATTGATATAAACTACAAAGAAGTAGTGTGAAACAAATTTCACCAAATTCAAGAGTAGTTTACTGAAAAAACAAAAAGTGGGACATACAACGTGTTTCACTGGTTCATCGTGAGAGTGCTTTGAAAAAAGTGAAAAAAAAAAAGACACTGTCCCACTGCCTGATGAAAACATCATGTCGCAGTTGTTTGAACGAGCACTTGGGATGAAATGGTCGAAGCAAGTGGCGCAGAGTACCCTTTCTCAAGTTGCGAAGAGGGAAGTTGTTCGGACCTCGTTTTGGCAGAGCACCACCTGCAGTGGCGCCTCTTGTGAGCTTTCATATCGCCGTGTTCTGTTCCTGTAAAGCTTACTTCACCGTAAACACCTATAATTTTTTCGTGCTTATTTTTAAGAATGTCCTTACTTTTTCTGTCGGAACTGTCTAGCACAGCTGTTGTCCCTGAATATGCGCCTATTTTTCAAAAGGCATATGATATAAAGAAAAGTATTTCCACGCACTAACATCCGCTTTTGCAATGAAGGATGAGCGGGATAATTTCACAGGGGATTGTTCGGATGCATTTATCGGTCAAGTTATTACGCAAATTTACAAAACCGTATAACGACTAGAAGTTAGACTGACCTCTGGGTAAAACCATGTAAAGAGGAAATTATCCGACATTTTGATTGGTAGGTTCTATGTATTTGAAGAGGAGGAAAATTTGGGGGATGCTTAATGTTGATTGCTTGAAAATTGCTCACATATAATTCGAAATACGTGTATTCGGGCACGCTGGTATTCCATCTTAACGCCTATGTATAGCGCATAGAAAGGACAGGCACTGCGTCCATGTCGTGCCTCCGTATTCTTGTCCTTTCTGTGCGTTATAAATGTTAAAAAGCTCAAAAATGTATTTTCCGCCACACGGGACACGCGCAAATTTAGCAAGCGTGATCTGCGGTGTGTGTGATCCTGTAAAGCGTAATCGCAGCAAGTCAAACGTTTGACAAAACACAATTGTAAATAAACTAAGAGCAGGCAAAAACAAACCATCCACTATTCGAACAGATCACTTGTTTTCGACGTGGAAATGCTACCTATTAAGCTCTCGGGTAGGAACTTCTTCACAAAAACGTCTTACGATAAAAAAATTTCAAACATACTATTTTAATCAATCACAATGATGGACATACAATTAGCGAAGCCGACTGACGAGTGAGGCAATGAATTTACGAAACAGAAGTTTTGTGAATTCGGCTCCTCTTTGTTTTCAACAAATGGAGCATACGGTGGTGGTGCAAAATTGCGCTGTAGGGGCGAAGCGAGTGCCTCTAATAGAAGCACGTAGGTTTACTGAAGTCGTGGAATTACTGGAAACTTCAGAAAGAAGACTTGTACTGCGCGAAATTAAACGAGTTACCAGACAAAACATAGCAGTCTCGTGAACAGAGAATCGCGAAGGAGCAAGATACAGACGAGGCGACTTCGTCACAAAAGAGCTGTAGTCGTCGACCGGCGAATAAACTTGGGCGTGTCAGAAGAAATCTTCGTAATACAGCGGCTGTTACGCTTCAACCAACACTCCTGAAGAAATCAAGATCAAAATGAAGAGAAGGGGCTATTCAGATTACGGAGGAGCGGATTTCCTTCAACGGAACATCATTGCCCTCCTCTTACATCGAATTAGAGCTCACGAATTCGTTATAACGGGTGCCCTTCATCACCCTCCCTCCAGTCGCGTCTTTCGGGAAGGCAATGCCACGACAATCACGATGTCCTTTCCACCATCACTTCGACCGCGCCTCCTCGGGCATTGAAGACCACAGCGTCTCTGAGGGGAGGGGGAGGCTGTCGAAAGAAGGCGAAGAATAGGGGAGAGCAGTGAAATAGGTGAGGAGGAAAGGTCGACTAGTGACTCGTCGTCGGTCGCCGCCGCTTGCTGCCCCCCCTTCCCTGTTTTCAATACCCTCCCTCGCCGAAAACACCCCCACCCCTCCATGCGAGATCTGCCGCCGCTCCTCCGGCGACGGCAGATGTTCCGCTGATGCCGTGTGCCACGGTTGGTAACCGTGCCGTCGTTTCTGTTGACGCGCTGTGGCGCGGCGCGCTCGGGCTTTCAAGTTGTCCGAAGTCTTCTCGTCTGAATCGTGCAGCGAAGTGACGTTAGGTGGTTTCGTGCCTAGAAGTGCTCCGTTGTCCCATGATGCCGTCTCGAAGGGGCCCCATGATCGACGACCAACTCATCCTGCCGGCGAGGCCTCCGGCCGCCAAGCGATGTCCCGTCTGCAAAGCATTCGGCTCCGAGCGGATGCAGGTGAGCTCGGTCGCTTGCGACACACGCAATGTAACCGGACGTGGGCTGATCGAACAGTGCAGTCCACTGCGCGTATACCTTGTTTAAAACTAACGTTAGGATGGCCAGGTTGGCACGTTAGCGAGGAATCGCATTCGCTGACCAAATAACTAATGAACGTTTCTGGACTCGCTTACAGACCCACCCCCCACCCCTTCCCTCTTATTTTTTCTTTCTTTTGCGTTCATCTTTCTCCCGATTCGAGGTCATTTTCTGCAAAGCGCACGAAGCAAAACGGCGGCACGTCCAGCGAAACTGTGCAGCTCTGCGTGATGTTAGTTCCAAGTCCTGCAACAACGACCTAGCGAAATGACTACTGTCGTCTATAATTTCGTGCATACTCTGCTGCGCTTGCCCTCGGTGAATTGCTTTTTCATGGAGTCGCGATGAATTGCGCCGGCCCATTACCTAGCTTTGCGCGCGTTTTTCGAGTAGCTATTTCCCGCCTCCCGTTCGCGACTCGTGTACTCCCTTCGACGGTGCTGTGTGGTATATGGATCGTACGGTTTTTTCGCCGCTGGTTTGTCCCCTCGACGATACTGCTGAGATACTGCAGTATTTTCTCATTGCTCGCGGTATATGTCAGTATACCACGTTTGCAGAAGTATGCTATAGAACATTACAATCGAACTTGTCCTCACTGCAGCATATGCACGAAACTATAGGGATATATGCAGAAACCAGCGCTGAAAGTAGTTCACTTCAAAGCTTTGATTCTCTTTCTTTTACACTCTAAAGACATTTCCCACCATTTGCGGATCTTTTTAGGGGCGAAGCTCCTTAATTCGGGGGTATGTCCATCCCTTGTATTCATGTAGTAGTACGTAAACACCGGTGGGGATGCGAGATGGGAGATGGCGGTACTTGGAAGTGTTCACTAGATGGGCACACGGACGGATAGACAGACAGACTAGCAGACTGACAGAAGGATGGATGGACGCTTCGCCCCACTTATCATTCACTCCGTGAATATGCTGTGGTTTTTTTTTTTCTTGTCCCACACGAACAATATCAGGCTTGCACGCGTTTCCCATCTTGAAGACTTGGAGCTCGAGACTTCCTGTAGAATAAACGAAAGCACGCACGCCTTTCGCCACCTGAAAGTACTTGGGTGTCTTCGTTAAAGCAGAGAAGTACTGCATGCAAGGTAGATGACAATCATGACTGTGAGACAGAAATACAACCCTAAGGGTGTAACTTTTATCACAGTGTACCGCGTACTTAACCGTGAAAGATAGAATGCACAAAACAGTGTATTCTGCTAATATAACTATGTGCCTTTCCTACGTTCATAAAGAGGCGTCACAAGTATGCACTTGTGAAGCTATAAGGCTCAGAAACCATCTAGAGTGCGCTAAAGGAGCGTCTCACTAAGTGCCAACGAATGTAATCCAGCACGTTCACTGGTTGAAGTTACGCTATCACCTTCTTAAGTATGCTCTACTTGTATAGTGAATTGACTCAGTTGCCTAAGCAGACAACGTCGACTTGAAGCATCGATATTATGGCCCAACTGGCTTTTAATCGGATAGGCTTCAGTGCGATTTAGACGAAGACAAAGAGAACAAAGACGAGCTTTGTCTCCTGGGTCTTCGTCTAAATCGCACCGAAGCCTATTAGAGCATGTACCAACACGCCCAAGTCAAGGTGCTATTGGATTTTAGTGTTTGTCATCGCGTTATATTCACACCCAGCCAGCTCACTCTTCCCGTTCTTCATATACCTTGTTTCTCGGGCGCAAAACTGATCTCACGCATGACATGGTTGTTTTTGAGTAGGCCACGCACCTGACCTCGCGATGTAAACCTTTCTACTGGTGGCTCTCTGGGCGCCGCCGTAAAAACATCCCAGAGTGAAGCTCTGGGATGTTGTTAACATGCGGGACACCCAAAATGCACTGCCGAGGCTGTTACGTCGGCGTTCGTGCTCCCGTGCAACATCCCAGAAAGGAGGGTATCCTCGTCACCGTTAAAAAGGTCTATAAGCACGCGCGCCACAATGTTATCTCAACTGTTTATACACACCAAAGAAAGAGCGACCTAACATGCAGAAGATACATCTCTACGCCTCTGTGTACAATCGATCAGCACATACTTATTTATCAAATGGCCCTCCCAGTTTCCCTTGTATATAATTAAAAATGTTTTTCATCATCATCGTAATCCTGCTCGCCAGCTGGTTCGCTTAATGTCGCGCGAAAGAACATTTGTCATCCGGCATCAATTTGCGCTCCACAAGGCCAGGGCCTAGGTCCCTAACGTCGACCCAATCGGTTTGAGACCACATGTGCTCTCGCATGCGTCGTCCAGATGCCGCTTTTTGTAAACACTCAACGCAGCAAGCGTCTCCATCGGATGAAGAAGGCCACGCAGGGAGCTTCTTTCCTCACTCGTGGTTTTGTTCAGCGCGCGTCCATCCCAACCACAATATATCCCGCTTGTTTCGCATCCCTTCCCAGTCAGCTGCCGCCTGTGGGTAATCTCCGTCGATGCCTGCAAACTCGCTCGTGCAGTGTTTTATTTACTCGCGCGCATAATGTTTACGCGCCAAGAGGCGAAGATGAATTTATGAGCGATGATAGCGTGCTCAAACGCTCAAACTACATATATAGAAGTTTGGAAAGAACAGAAGCGTGGCTCGTGCCGCCTGTGTATATATAAAGTACATCCAGCTGCGGGTTGCTTGCTTCGCCCACAGGAAGAAGAGAGGGTATGGTTCATAGGGAAGTGGGGGGGGGGGGGGGGGGGTTGCAGCGCCGCTTGTGCTCCCTTCTGTTCTGCGTTTGCTACGCGCATTCATCCATCCATGCGGGCGCGCTCGCTTGCACGCGACACGCGCGCAACCGAACAGAGGCAGCCGGAGTTCGACAGCACGCCGAGGCTTGTTTATACGGTTTCGGGGTGCTGCACTTCCCGTTCGTCGGCCGCGCCCGCGTTCTCCGGGGGCTGGTCGGTAAACCAGAAGAGAAAGAAAGGGGGTCGCTCCTTGAAGAGGGTCTGCGCTGCTCGCGGAGGCCTCGAGGACCGAACGGAAGCTCTCGCGTTGTGCAAAAACGAAAGCGAGCAGCTTGTTGGGCCTGCCGGAAGCGCCACCTCTGGCTGCAGCGCATTCCGGGGCGGGAGACAGTAGTTGATGGGCCAGGCCATCAAACGGGTGAACTTCTGCGCTTAAACATTTCATTTCCGGTTGAGAGTTGAGGGAGCGTTGGTTTTTGGGGCGAACCGCCGATTGCTCGTCACTTCGCGAAGCGAAGTTTGGCGCAGTCAACCCTTTTTTCATGTCGGGCACACTGAACTACAAGGCTTCTAGTGCACTTTGGTATCGGGTAAATTGTGACCCTGTGGGATTATTTTTTTTTTGTCTTCTTTATCGCTTTGCTTGCTTGCCCAAACTGATGACAACGAAAGTTGAAATTCATTAGTAGATCACTCGTAATTTTGATAATGACTGCGTCGTACAGACTTCCATTACCTGCTGGAACAGGTTGGGGTATCCTCTCTTCCCGCGCTTCGTGAATTGAAGCAAGAGAGAAGACTTCAAAGCCCCTGTCAAACAGCGGATATATATCATTTAGCCTATCCGTCTAAAATGTGCTCGAACGAAGTCGCTTTCGCACTCTTACAGGAAGTACACCGCATTCTGCATTACAAAGTACTCTTGCAAGCATCTAAGAATTGTTCGAGGGGCTCGTTTGTTTGTCAGACACAACCAAAAGAAATCAAACAGACAGTGAAACCAAGGAAAGTGCAGGTGATACCTCTTTTTTTTTTGCTTTTCACTGTAGCGTAGTAGTTACAACATAAGTTGAAACCAGCTGAAGCAAAAAAGAAAGCAATTTTCCGTTGGTGGCGTCCGAACCACATAACCTTCCAATTTTGAAATGCATCCTGGGATTTTATAGAATGCGATGTTTAGCATGACGAAAACCACACTGCGACATCGTTCACACAGCACATCGATCAATACTGAAGCCATTTGCCGATTTCTAATTACAAGTCATGCTTCTGACAGCGTCAGCGCCGGAGGACTCGAGGGCCACAAGTAGTTGCTGTAACCTTAAATTTTCCACGACTAAGCCCCTACGGCCCCCGGCAGAAGTCTGGCAGGAAACGGCATTTTCCGGCCGCCACCGCCGCTCCCGGTCACCGAAAAAGCCCCTTCTCCTTCATTATTTTGCTCTTCTTCATCGCTTCCTCTTCGTGACCTAGCGAAAAAACACTGCGCTAACGCGTTGTCTTCCTAACAGCGAGAGGCCCCTACATAGGAACAAAGCCGCCCTCAAGAAAAACGGCCGCGCATGCGTCGCCGGCGGCAAAAGACCGGAAACAGCTCAAACGAGGACTTCCGGTGCGCGTCACATCCCTCCAGCTGCGAGGCAGGAACAATAACATTTATCTATTCGCTTTGTTTACGCTCCTCTCCATCTTCTTCTTCGTCATTTGCACGTGCTGCCTTGAGCGGCCATTAGCGGAACTTTCTTTTTTGCTGCGTTGGGGACACGACAGCTGCCACCGTTGCGCTGTCGTGTGGTGCCTTCGAGCTTCGCACGCAGCCATGCAGACAGATTACAAAAGCTCGTTAAAGAAAGTGTGACCGACAGCGCACGCGAGTCAATCTCGGTGCACGTGTTGCTTCCACCTACGCGACAGCAGTGAACAATTTTGACTGACTAATGGCGTCGTGCGTCTGCTCAAAAATAGTGTTTCTGTGCGAGAAGGCGAAGGGGGGAAGTCATCCACTGCGGCCTCATATGGCGGGATGTCGGAAACCTCGTTTCTCGTTGTAACGACATTTCTTTCTTTCTTTCTTTCTTTCTTTCTTTCTTTCTTTCTTTCTTTCTTTCTTTCTTTCTTTCTTTCTTTCTTTCTTTCTTTACTACGGCGAAGGAAGTAGTATGTTCGTGTACACACGCAATGCTTCTGGAATCCGTTCTTAATCACTCTCCTGAAGTGTATAAGTCT